TGTAGATCTTTCCTACCAGAAGATCAGGGGTGTGGCCGAAAGACAGCAGTAAGAAGGAGCCAAGTAGTAGCAGTAGAAAGGCAAAGGAGATGAGGGGGTCGGGGCAGAAAGTGGAGACGAAAGCAGACGATAGAACATTGCTAGACATACGAAAGCAGACGACAGAACATTGCTAGGCTGCAGGAAAGGAGGTGAAAGGAGACAGTTTAGAGAAGAAATGTTTCTGTCGCTGTCAGGATTTGAACCTTGGACCTTTTAAATGAGAGGCAAACACCTTAACCTCTTGACCACGAGAGCCCCCTCTCCTGTTTCGAATCCCAAACGAAGTGTCATTGAAGGGGTTTTAAAGTCTTTTTCTAAAGGTGGAGGGGGCGGGGGAGGATTTTATTTTGAAAAGAGGGAAAGGGAGGGGGAGGTTCTATTTTCTATCTATCCCATTTAGCTCGATTCGGTTTCACGGGAGATGATACAGTGACGTTGGTAACTAGTGGTTAGGGTACCGGACTCGTCATTGTGAGATTGCGGGTTCGGGGGTTCGAGCCTCAGATCGGCCCGACGTTGTGTCCATGGGGAAGGCACTTTACACGAATTTCCCACTTGGCTCGGTCATTTTGCCTCTTAATTAACCTAATATTGTACCATTTCACCATTAACTTTTTTTTTTTTTGGGGGGGGTTGGACATTAACTTTTGAATTTCCGCCCCTTAAATAGCTTCACACTTTTGAAAAGGGGTATTAGCCTGACACATTTATCAGTTATAACAAAGTGGTAAACTCAGTTCAGTTTGGGCTTGCCAAAACCCACACGCCCTCAAAGGCATTGAAATTAACAACAAGGGAGTCAAGAAAACCCTGAGAAATTATGTTATCCCAATTGAAAGAGCTGCAGAGCTGGCTTCCCATAGAAAACAGCAACTCCCCTCGACGTTTAACGGCAACAGAGGATAAAAGGGTAAGGAGTAAAGTATAAACCACAAGCCTCCAAAGGCTACATTTTGATCCACCAAAATCCATCTAAATAGTCTTACTGTGTCGAAAACTGGCTTTGGTGGTGTAGCGGTTAGGCGCTTCGCCGTGGCACGCAGTCGAAGACGTGAGTTCGATTCCCGTGTAAGGAGGATCTTTATCGAGTGTCTCTGTCTTCCTGAAGAAACATGTTATTGCTCTTTGTTTGGGTGAGAAACAGCCCGCTTCTTAAAAGATCTAG